ATTTCTGTGATGGAGCCAGGAAAGGAACAATATCTTTAAGATTATAAAGGGAAAATGACACGGCCTCAATCATTGTCAAACTGAACTCCATTCACAGCTAGGGATTTCTTGTATTTTACAATCAGCAACCTGCCCTGAGGAATCTTCATCACCAATCTATTTTTAATTATTATGATTGCTTTCAAATTACTTCATTTGCAGCTCCAGTTCTTATACTTCCCCTGTTGATATTTCATAGCCTTAAGTCATACGACTTCATTGCCATTGGCTTTGTTTGGCAATTATGCAAATAAAAAGTGTGCCTTAACCCTCCAGCGTGCTTTGTGTATGTCATCACCACACAAAAGCAGGCATTGTCCACATTTTGGAGAAGATCTGATGGTGAAAATGGCTATAAATGTAGCCAGTATTTCAGAGGTCGAATTGGATGCATAAAGTTGCATAAAGAAAACTAAATGAGATATTTTAAGGCTTCTTAGGTCTGGTTTTTGTTTGTTTGTTTGTTTGTTGTTTGTTTGTTTTTTGTTTTTTGTTTTTTTTTTAAAGCAATCAAGGCCTCACCTTCCTTTCAATATCTGACCTTAGAATGTTATGATAGGAATTTTTGGAGTCTCAAGTCACTAAAGTTTTTGAGGTAATCAGACTGCACACACATTTCCACTACAAACACATACATCCATTTAACTTTCTCTAATATTTTGAAATATACTGTAGGCTACTAGAGATTTTCAATAGTCCTTTAACCTATGCAGATAAACTATGAAAAGTATAACCTTTATAGACCACATCCAACTCTGACTGGAATGTGTATTGTGGTTCCAAAGAAAAGCTGCTAGTTATTGTGGTATAGATTACATTCTTGACTCATCTATAAGGACTTACAGACACCCATGCATTTATTTTTCACCGGTGTTAGTCATATACAACAGGAGAAATTTCACTATTATTTCATTGCTCTTCCTCTGTTGGGAGCTCACATTTTCTCCTGCTCACCTACATGTGATCTTGGGAAAGAAACAAAACTGAAAATGTTGGAGTTGCACAAATTCCCAGAGAAATCTACTATAGCACTGCCAATCCACCAGAGAAGCTTGCTTTGAATAAAATGGGATCATTTTATACAGATCTATCTACAACAAAATTTCCCCGGATGCTGTAAAAAGATATCATGAGGCTTTCGATTCAGAGTTCACGATCCCATTTTGCATGCAGATTACTGAAGGGTTGTTGCTGAGGCTTCACTCTAGTTCCTATTTATACAGATAAATCACATGCTCTTTGTGGAATCTGGTCTCTTATCCCTTCCAGTAACTACTTGTATTGAGTAGGACTAAAATGAGACTTTCTACAGAGCAAGAACATGAGAGTAAGAGGTGGGGGCAAGAAATGACTTTTTTTTTTTTTTTTTTTTTTTTTAAAAAACACTTTACACTACTTTCTTTCCCTCTAAACCAAACCCAGGGTTGGAAGGGACTTTAACAATCATCTAGTTCCAAACCCCAGCTGTGGGCAGGGCTGCCACCCACCAAATCAGGCTGCCCAGGGCCTCATCCTACCTGGCCCTAATACCTCCAGGAATGGGGCATCTGTTTGTGGAGCCTGTGCCAGTGCCTCTCCACTCCCTGAGTGTTCATCTCATTCTTGGAGGGGAATGTTCAATGAGAGAGTCACAAGTATCTTTGCAGCCTTTCCAGTCAAGGCATTTTGTGAAATGCTGAGTCCAATTCTGATGGCAGCGTCAACACATACTGACATCTGCACAATATAAAAATATATGAATTTGGAACAATTTCCAAAACCATTCTGATTCTCTATTCCTTATTTATTTTCCGGCTTCTTTTTATCATGTTTGCATTTTGCTACAAATGCAACATTTCTTATCCACCATATTTTCCCCCAATACCCTACTCTGCTCAGGAGGATCATGCCTTTCTAAAAAAAAGAAATGTATATTCTGATCACATAGAAAGAAAGTGGTGTCCCAAACTGATGAAATTAAGTCCAAATTCTTCTGCCAAAAATGTCTAAGTCCTTTGTTTCACTGCTGATACCTCTGAAAATAAGGATTATAAAAAAAAACAAAAAACAGATACTTGCTCAAGGGAACCATACTTTCTCCCCTTTTATGCTAGGAAGTTGATGTAAGGTCACCAGCTCATGTTAGAAGTGTAATTATTTGTGTGGAGTCTGCACAGAAATACAGAAGTGACTTTGAGATTAGCTATGCCTCTAGTGAAGTTCTGTAGGCATAATGTCAGAGATTAACTGAATCTTCAGGACTCAAATTTATTCTAATGCAGTGTCTAGCATAACAGGAGTAGCATTCATGCCTTGAAAGTCTAGGGCCACAGTCTCTGGTGTGTCTGTTGGTCATGTATTAGAGTTATCTTTTCCCAAGCAAGCATGGTGATTTTCATTCCCCTGGAGGAGTATTGAATATTATCAGTTTAAATGTGGTTTTATGGTTAATAAGTACTCTTCACACTGCTGGTAAAAGCCCCCCAGGGCCTGACAAAGATCATTCTTTGATTTAAAAGAATCTCATAAAAGTAGATTGGTAGTTCTGATCACATAGACAGATGTGCATAGTCCTAACACTCCTTACTCCCTGTCGATTCTCATTGTGCACTTAAGGAGTTTAATAATATGAACCTCACTAATCATCACAATGTCAGCTCAGGTCATACTGCCCTACAGACTGAAGTAGGAGTCCCTGAGTTCAGTAGGTAATGAATTCCTGTCATGTTCTGAAGTTTAGAAAAAAAAAACAAAAAAAAAAAAATCCACTGTTTTGCAACAGAAGGGCACAAATCTAATCCTGAAAGACACCATACTTTTGAAAAGGACAGTTATGGCTATGCCTTTTTGTTAGTCATGGAACATCAGCATCGCTGAGGGTGAGGCCCTGTATCCCTATTTATTTCAAACCTTTCAGTTAAGGGGAAAACGCTTCTTTACAAGTTTCAGTTTTCATGTTTAATTTGTGCCACTTAGTTATGCATGCACTTTTCAAAGCAAAACACACCATGGTTCTGAAAAAATCAGATGGTATGTGTTTAGACATAAAGTACTCTGGAGGACTTTACTAACTGGAGTACACATTTTTCCCATCTTCCTAAAATTTCACTGAGTTCCTGCTCTGAGACCATCTTTTTTTCCCTTATAACAGTCAGATAACATTTTCCACTGTCAGAGCTGCTGAATTCCTCTGTCACTATCTCCATCTCTTTATTGTCTAACTCTCCCCAGTTAAGATCATTGGCACATCAAGACTCACCACTGATTGCCAAGATCTTCCCTTAGCATTCTGCTTGCAAGCTTCTAGCTTTATCCAAGGCCACCTGCCAAACCTTATTCCAAGCATAAGTACACAGGCCTCCTCTCAGCTATGAAGTACTCATTGATACTGTTCTCTATTATCAGCTTTCCAGTCCTTCTTTCTCCATCTGGACAGAAACATTCTTTCCTCTTTTCCTTCTCTCTAATTACATGAACCTAAGCTAGCCCGTTTTCCCCATCAATCTTAAGCAGATTTCCATAGTCACCAGTTTTTCCTCTACTATTCTTGACAGTGGTTCTCTTTTTCACTCTCATATTCCAGCAATATTCTCAAGCAGCAGTTTGTGCACTCGGCCAGTGACAAGTAGGCATTGGTTGGTTTAGAAACCATCTCAGATAAAACTCTTCTATGAAGTGGCTCTTACCTTTATAATCATTTAATGTAGTTTGGTATGCCTGCTTTTGAACTTGTGTGTACAGGAAAGTTTCTTTCTTATTTGCTGTAATATTTTATAAGGATTTGTTATGCAGCTTAGAAAATGGCAAAAGCAAATCCTTTCCTAATACACAAAGGCAACAAAGTACAAGAAATACTCTACTCCTTGTCAGGCAGACACCTGGGCTGAACTCAACAAAGCATTCAGCAAGAAAACCTCAGTGTTGGCATATCTGCTTTATTTATTGTGAAGAAAAAGAGAGGGAGCAGTAGTGGGAGAACCAAAACACATGAAAAAACTCAAATTATTGTTTTAAATTATTTGTACATGATTGTAAAAGATTAGCTTGCAGCACCAAATTTACGATGACGTATAGGATGAAAAATTGTCTTCATAGACAGAGATATTCTATTATTTTCTCTATTGCACCACTGTGCAAAAAAGACACCCAAATTCAGCAGACTAAGCTAAGACAGAGTACTTCATATTTTTCACTGCTGTGTTCAAAGGCCAGCAATGGAATTTTCTCCAACTTAGAGCCCATTTGAAAAACAGAGCTGTTTCTTTCCTTGCACATCAGTTCAGATGCCTAAAAAAAATTCTCTTCCAAGCGTGGTGCTTTTAAGTACAGAGAATTCAATTTAAAAACAATACACAGTTTTAAAATACATATTTTTTTAAAAAAAGGCTGTGATGGAAACTGATGTGTGCTTTTTGTCTTAAAGACTATATACAAGATAAACTAAACTCTTCTGATGTAAAAGAAAAGCAAGGAAATAAGTAATATTTACTATGTACTATGTATGTCTTACTAGTAAGAATAGGGAATACTCACTAGCTGTACTCAGCTGAGATTTTGGAAGACACTCTCTGTACGATGTTGCCCTCCTAAGAGCCTACATGGTGGAAAATGTATGTTGTACATGGAAGGGATGAGGATATAAAGGAGGATGCTTCAAAGCTGTAATCCTTGATGCTTCTCCTCACATTTTTGGTAGTTTGGAAATCTGATGATCCTCTAAAGCTGATAAAAAAAAGGTGTTGTTGATCAAATTGCCCAGTACCCTTTCCTTGAGAGACTCAACTGTAAGAAAGGCTTTATGAGGCAACATTTTAGGAAGCTCTTATAGTTTAACTCAGCAGTCAAACACCATAAGCCATTCACTCACTCCCTCAAGTAGGAGGAAGCAAAAAATTAGATAGAAAACACCTATCAAGAGAGAAAAAGAAAACAGAAAAATGCAATTACAATTATACAAATACAACCACAGCACAACTACTCACCATGCACTGACCAATCCCCTGCCAATAGTACAGCAGGTGCTTGCCAACCGATGACTATCAACACACCTTCCCACTAACACCCAACCAAGGAGCAGCAATCAAACTTACCCCTCTTCCCTACAGCTTTATAGCCTTCTGGATAATGTCACGAGGGATGGAATAACCTCTTGCTTAATCCGAACCACCTGCCCTTGCTCTGCCCCTCATCCAGTTGCCAAGCCATAATGGCTGTGGCTCTGGGTGTGGTTCCATCATTCAGTAACAACCTAAAGTGATATCAGCAGTCTCAGATGAAACCGGGGTAGATACAGATCATATATATAGAAGGATATGTTATAGGAATATGTAATAGTTTAGTGCTCCTTGTGTATTTTGTAGCTGTGTAACACATGGCAGCAGATGGGCATTCTGATGAAATGGCATTTGATGTGGAAGTGTGTGTGAAATAATTCTGAAAAAAGAATTTCTCTATACAGAAGAAATGGTGCCTGTTGACATTTACTGATGCTTGCCAAATGTTTATAGAAAACAAAAAGTACATGTGAGCACAGCGAGGCAGTTGGGTAGTGGTGATAGTGGGTCACCTCCACTGGTGCAGATTGTTATGAGTGCAACATACAGAATCCCGTTCATCACTGGTGAAAATGCATAGCTATTACAACAATGGTGACTGTTGAAAAACAGTGTTTTGTAGCTGAGAATTTGCTTTATCAAATCAGGTTATTGTGCTCTCTGTATCTGTTGTAGTTTCCATACAGACAAATAGGAGGCATTACTTTCAGAGCAACCTATACGTATCTACTTTGAAAAATATAGAGAGAAGTAAAGCAGAGATTTCATACAGGGCTACTTTTTTTAGTTATTGCATCTGTGTTCTGCGTCCATGATAAAAAAATAAATTCAATTTCATAGAAAGTTCCCAGGCAGGTTGACTTCCTAACTAGAATTAGTATTATATGAAATACTGCGAGTATCATCAGGATTTTCTTTTTATTCAGTCGTAGAATAATTTAGTCTCCAAAAGTCTTGAGCATTAACTGATGCAAAGGCTCACAGAAACTTGTTGTGATGTAACTAGCTGCTTTGGGCTACATCATCCTGAACATTTCATAAATAATTCCATCATATCTGAGACTCTAGCCATTACTAAGGTGGCACCACCTTGGATTTATGACTCAAAATGTTCAAGAAGTGAAATGTTAACACTTCTGAGAAAAACATGTACATCTTATAGCGCTAACTGTAACACAAGCTGGACACTGGAAGCATTTCCTTCGAACAGTTGGTAGAAGATTAATCCTGAATTATTCCCTGAATCTCAAAGAGTAAAGAGCTTACTCTATGTAAAAATTTTATGTAATTCTATGAATTACCTCTATTATTCTCACACAAGTATGTAATACGTTTTTGAAGCTTGTTTCATTCTTAACTTGTTCTATTCAAAAAGATTTTGATTAAATTTTGTTTCATTCACATATTCATTTCAAAGATGACACATTTTCATTTAACATTTGTAGGAGAATATTTTTGTTGCAGTTTTGGGGGAGAAAATGCTATTTTCACTGTTTTAAGTCAATGCTTCATTTGTCATGTGGAAAATCTAATCTTTATAAAATAAATTTTCTCCAGGAAATGAAGGCTGTAAAGTAAAAGACCCAAAAGTAGGTGATTTTTTGTTACTTCACCTTGATTATTTTCAGGCAAAGAAAATTTGAGGGCAAAGACTGTTTTACCATATGCTCATTTACCATAAGCACAGTAGTGTTTTACAAGGTATCCCTCAGAGAAACTAGGAAATAGAGCATCAGTACTACTTCCACTGAAGAGAATAATAAAACTTTCTCTTTTGGTGCTGGAAGAACTAGTCTTTTTCTTCGTTACTACATTTGAGTTTCACAGGGTTTTTTTTATACTGCATCACCTTGAGAAGAGCTATCTAGGTGTTTCTAGTTTACTTCTTTTCCATATTTACTGCATTGTAAATCTTTGCTGTGATTCCATTTGTGCAGTCATAAACTTAGTGTTTTCTTATACAGAAAGGTTTCCATATTTATACTTATTTTTTGCATGCCATTTATAATTGTTCTGCATATAACACCTAAATGTTTTCTATCAAGGCAGCTTCATCTTTATCTTGAATATAAGAGCTCAGTGATACAGCTGGTGCACAATGAACATAATGGGGTTGTTGACTTCTGTAGTCTGTATATATTTTTTCATGAAGTCCAAGTGCTATCATACAAGCAACATTTGGATGCTACAAGTTAATATTAGGCCATGGTACACTTTTCTTCATAGTGTAATGTAAAAAAGGCATGCTGTAAGTGGATCCACTATATACCTTTCTGTGACATCCTTTTAACTTCATTATGTTGACAATTATGACATGTGCAAAAGCCTACCCCAACTTTGGGTAAGAAATAGGTTTTCTTTTTTTATTTGTTTGGATCTAGGACTATGAAAGAAGTCAAACAAAAGAGTAACTTTTTATCAGTTACAATCAGTCTCAAAATAATCTAAAATCATTGAATGGCTTAGATTGAAAGGGACCTTTACGATCATCTAGTTTCAAACCTCTGCCACTCACTGGATCACTGGATCAGGCTGCCCAGAGCCCCATTCAATCTGTCCATTAATGTCTTCAGGGAAGGGGCAGTGACAGCCTCTTTGGCAGTGTTTTCCTGTGCCTCACCACATTCTGAGTAAAGAATTTCCTCCCAACATCTAATCTAAATCGTCCCTCTTTTAGTTTAAAACTGTTCCTTCTTGTCCTATCATTATCAGATGATGCAAAAAGTCTCCCTCCTGCTTTATAAGCTCCCTTTAGGTATTGGTAGGTCAGTTAGCTGTTCTCCCAGTCTGTATACATATCTGGGATTTTCCTGACCCATACACAGCATCTTGCACCTGGACCTGTTGTGGGTGCACTATTCAAGCCTGTCTAGGTCCCTCTGGATGATATCCCTTCTTTCCATTGTGTCAACAGTACCACTCAGCTTGGTGTCAGCTGCAAACTTACTGAAGGTACACTCGATTCCAATATAAAAAGTTTTTTTTGTGCTTCTGTTTCTGTCAGATCACCTCTCCTGTCATGGCAATGAGAGCTGATGATCCTGAATGGATATGGAGTATAAAGTGGAAACCAGGTGCAAATGACAATCAATATAACCTTCACCAATGACTGTTTGCAATGTTTGCAAAAACACACCAATGAAGTGTTTGCAAAACACTTAGAAATGTTGCAAAAATCCTATGCTGACCTGCCAAGCTGGCACAATTAATTAGTTAACATTTTAAATCACAGCAAATCCAATATGTTATTGCATCCTGACACTTTTCATTAGCAAAATCCAGCAGTCTGATTCTTTCCAAAGGATCCTCTAAAATTTACTAGGTCACTTCTATATCCAGCAAAGGGAATTTGAGATGCTCTGTTCATAAGGTTTGTGCAAACATTTAAGCAGGTTCAACAAGTGGTTGTCACATGGTAATAAAAAAATAGCAATAATACGGCTGGATATTTAGAGACACTGAAAATCAAACTTTGTAAGCTACTTTGACCTTTTTCTGTGAAATGGTTAATAGTATTTGATAAATAGAATGTGATTATGTTACAGCCATAATTGTCATTACAAATTTCAGTTGGAAAAAAAAAAAAAAAAAAAAAAGGTCATATCTGTGCTTCTTTGTGCCTATTAGGTATCTTTTTCTCACTCCTTGAAGCTTGTCTTCAGGAAATACTCATTTGCTGGCCTTTGCATAGCCTTTGCTTATGGAACTGTTTTTCCTTTTGCAATCATTATCATTTCTGGTGTTTTTTGGAGTTACCAAACCCTTGGTCACAGAACTGAAAGTAAAACTGTGGCCCACATACTGTGAGGTCCTGTAGATCATGCAATTTAGCCTAATATAATGCTTACAGCATGGATACCAGTTTACCATGTAGCCTTGAAATTATTTCCAGTCTTGGCTTGCAGAGGGATGCATGGAATATATTTAAGCTTTTCAGTGAAACAGACTGTTCCCACAGCAAGGCAAGCCCATTTTCCTTGCTGACCACAGAAATCCAAATAAGAGCATCTGTGCACCAAAGGTTAGCTCCACACTTATCTCTTGCAAAATATAGAAACAAGGACATAATTATATGATTATTTTGTGATGACTATTACCATTGCTATTTCCTTTAATCATAACTAAATTTTTCCAAAATCAGATATTGTATGATTCAGTATGTATCCCTGGTTAAACTGTGTGCATTACAAGGCATTTTAAGAGCAGACAGATGGGTATGAATTCCATGATTTTATTTTTTCCTCCCAGAAGTTTAGTATTTCTGTAAGCATTGAAACATACCCATTTCCCTATCCCACCTATTGTCCTGCCAACCTCATTTGGAGTTTTACTCATATGTCTTCAGATTGATCAGTCTATTCATGACCCACAAACAGTTGTTTTGAAAACACTCCACTTACAGTAACATATTAAAGCACCATGAAAGGTGCACATGAACAGCCAACCAGCCTTTGCCACTTTTCAGGCAGTCTTATAATTTTTTATAAGTTTTCCTTCTCTTGAGCAATTTCATCAGTGAAGTTTTCATTTTTAAGATTCACCTCCAGTGAGCTTATATATCAACTTGATGGATAATTTAAAGAAAAAAAACATGCACATATTTGTGGTTGTATGGCCTGACCAAAACTATTTGGAACCTATCCAGTCTAGAATACTTCATCACGTCACTGAATTGTAGAGTCATAGAATGGCATGGGTTGGAAGTGACCCTTAAAGATCATCTATTTCCATCCTCATAGATAGGGCTGCCACCCAGCAGACCAGGCTGCCCAGGGTCCCATCCAACCTGACCTTGAATTCCTCCAGAGATGAGGCACCCACCACCTCTCTGGGCAGCCTGTTCCTGTGCTTCACCACACTCTGAATAAAAAAAAATTATTCCTAACATATAACCTAAATCTCCCCTCTTTTAGTTTAAAGCCATTCCCCCTTGTCCTATCATTATCACATCATGTAAAAAATCAGTCCATCTCCTGCTCGTAAGCTTCCAGACGTTTGGAATCTTGCAAGAA